ATCACCTTCACTCAGTATTGCACAAAAGATTAAATGAGATTAAATTTTAACCTCATTGAAAGTCTGATTTTTTTTATAAAAAAATTAAATTAAGTAACTTTTAATTCAATCTGATTCAGTGATAACTTAAATTAGCCCTTAAAATTGAGAGACCAATCCTATTAATCTAATACTTACTTATCTTTTTTTTCTCTCTATGAGAGGTAATAATCTATTTCAACCTAATAAATTCAATTAAGATAATAAAAATACTTATAATGTTAATAAATTCATAATAATTCTCAAGAAGAAAAAAAGTTTCAATTGGACCAAACCTGAAAAAACAGTATGATCTTTTTTGTCTTTTCAATCATAAAGGATCAACTTTTAATAAGACCAGATGAGATTGGACTTTCTCAAATCAAACTGGATCACATAGAATTGGAGGATTTACGCACAGCCTTACCTTCACCATCTCACACTCCATATTTTGTGAATATTCTTTCTATTTTTTTTTTAAACTCACCTCAAACTTACTCATTAAAATTAAAATGAAATAGTTATAATAATAAAATTATTTTAAAAATAATTTTTTTAATTTTTAAAAAAGTGATTTGACATCTAAGAAGAATTTTTTGGAAATTTAAAATCTGACATCAAATGCTATGAAAATAAAAAATAACTTATATAGAATATTAAAAAAAATCTGTTAAGATGTGATTTATAAAGATCACGGAAGGAGTAGAATAAAATATATTTAAAAAGAAAGTAAATTATTACCACTGGTACTTGATTAGGAGAAAAATCTAATTAATGAACAATAATTTCAGAAACAGTAATATAAATTTAAAAATACCGAAATTAATTTAACCGTTTTGAGAAATGTTAACTTTGTATGAATAAGTACTCAATATTAATATCTCCAGTGTTATCCTATCTTTATTATTATTATTATTTTGCTTTTAACGGAAGTGTGATTTTATCAATTTGTGGGCCATTCTAATCCTAATTTTTCAGCACGACGACGCGGCTATGCACAATACCTCGACAAAAATGACCAACTGACAGCAACCTCCAAAGCTAGGGAAGACTTGACCTGATGACCACAAGGTCATGTTTGGCAGGAGGAAAAAAGTATTCAAATTAAGAGATTGGATGGGAAAAATTTAAAGGTGTTCGAGGGCCAATTTGATTTGGATTGGTTTGGTTTTACATAAAAACTAAATTAAATCCAATCAATTAATTTATTGATGAGTAAAACTTGATCAGTTTTCGTAAAAATTAATTTAATTCTATTTTATTTTCAATTTGATTAAAATTTGAATCAAGCTTTAATCAATTTATTTAACTTTTTTTCCTTTTTTTCATCCTTATAACAGTTGATTTTTTTTTTTGAATTGATTTATGGATCACTGGCTCTTTTATTATATAAAGGGTCATTGCTTATCTCATACTTTATTTCAATCATAACATATTTATGAAAGGTTCTTATACCTTGATTAATCATGTATCTTATACATATTTATTCATTCTTTTTTAATTAATTAATTATTTTTTTCTTTTTTCTATCTTTATAATAGTTGATTTTTTTTTGAATTGATTTATGTATCATTAGCTCTTTTATTATATAAAAGGTCCTTGCTTGTCTCATATTTTATTTCAATCATAATATATTTATGGAAGGTTCTTGAACCTTAATTAATCATGTATCTTTTACATATATATTCATTCTTTTTTTATTTATTTTTCGCTCGGTCTCATATGTATTAAGGATAAGAAGATATGTTCGTGTTATATTAATCTCATTCATCTTTTTATTTCATTGACCTTAAATGTAATGTATCTTTAATTTTTTATGATTTCATCAATTTTCTTGCATAGTTCAATATATATATATATATATATATAAAGAAAATTGATTTTATGATTGCAAAGTAACTAAAAATTAAAATGATGATGGTGATCAACTAGCAAATAATAAATATATAAATATTTAAAATTTCAAATAGTATGTTATTTAATATTAATATTTATGTCCATAGTGCTTATCAGACTGATTGCAATTACTGTAATATTATGATTTCACATGGCTTTGTCCCTCACTTTGTTATTAAAAAATAAAAAGCTATTTCATCTTCATGGAAACATCACCGATATATCGGCAACTTCGTCGCATTTTCTAAATACTTTTACTTGACCTTTTTATCACATCAATCAAAGACTAGACCTAAATATCTTTCGTAGCTTGCACGGTAAAAATACAAAGTGACAAGACCTTTATAAAAAACAAAGCAACTATCTCCAAATTTTCCCATCTCAACTGGGATGGATTAGATTCGATGTAGATGATCAAGTTGATCATAACAAAGCATTTATTTGTAGGGGTTTTATTCATGATAATATCAAGAAAAATAAATTTAAAGTCTTACCAATTTTTCTGAAGTTTCAATGAAACACTGTTGCAAAACTCTATGAACTAATCTCTTTGAGAATGGAAATTATTCCTAACTTAATGTATTTTGCAACTGTATTAAAACTTAAACCCTGTTCTTAATGAGCAATTTTCAAAACTGTCCACTCATCAATGTAATAAAAAGTATTAGGAATTATATTATGCACGATTAGAGCGTTAATCTTGTTAGATTATATTTTTAGAAAAGCTAACTGTTATATAAATTGATTTACTAATCAGTTGGAGGATCACAATTGCCTTAATATGAGGATCAATAATGATCCACTCACAATGTGCGGGGATCTTATGTCTTCCAACATGTTGTATATATATCTCATAAGGCTTTGTCCGGTATTTTGTTATTAAAGAAACAAATAATGAAAAAAAAAAAGAAAGGAAAAAGCTCTGTCATGTTCATGGAAGCATCGTCGCATTTTCTAGTTACTTTTGTTTGATCCTTTTATCACGTTCCCGTCAATCAGAGGCCAGACTTCATTATTTTTCTAAAGTAGCTTCAACTGCAGAAAAAGTGAAAAACAAAGTGACATAACCTTTATAAACGTGGAAGGACTTGTTTTGTTGACTCATTATTTCTTTAATTTATTTTTATTTAAAAGAAGCATGTACTACTTTCTCTTTCATATATATTAATCATTCCTTACTTCATTTCAAGCATTTAAACCTCGATATGTCAGCATTACTGCAATAGTAGTTTCCTTTATTTACTTTTTTATTAAAGCAGTTTCCTTTGTTTATAATGCCACATCTTCATCTCTTTCACTCTATGTTTTGGGGATAGAATAATATCTGATTTTTTTAAAAAAATAAATCATCACCACCGGTAACTTATTAGGAGAACAATAATCTAATGAACAATAATTTCAAAAATATTGATGAAAATTTAAAAGTGACAAAAATAATTTGAGAGAACAACATAGAAATTTCAAAATGATCAATTAATTTAATTTAAATATCAAATATCAAACTTTAAGAATTTATAAGTTTGGCCTTCAATTTTATAATTTTATTGTAATAAATTTATTTTTTATTAAAATTTATAATATAAGTTATAAATTTATTATAATAAAATTATAAAATTAAAAACTGAATTTATAAATTTTTAAAATTTAACACTTAAAATTAAAATTGAATTAATTGATGCCTTGGACCAACATGACATTCTCCTAATTAATTTAACCATTTTGAAAATAAAATTTTTAATATTATTTTAATAAAGTTTGGGTGAAGAGATCATGACGCTCAAATGCTAATCCCATCCCCACCTTTTTTTTTTTTTTGAATCAGAAATGTGATCGCATCAATGAGTGGGGGGTCCTTCCAATCTTAAATTTTCAACACGGCAACGCGGCAATGCACAGAGCCCTGACAAGACAATAATTTCTGAGACGACTTGACCTGGGGACCACAAAGGCATGTTTGGGAGGATGGACAAAAGTTTTTAAAGTGAAGAGAATTAATTATCTCATAACTTGTTATGTTTAGTCCCCTATTTGCCTTTTTATAAACATTACCTCGTGATAAGATCTTTATTTTTTTTAATAACTGCAAAAAGCTGATGGCTTTTTGAAATAGTTACAATTAATGAGTAGTAAAGTATCTATAAAATTAAAGTAAACATTAATTTTAAAGAGTTTAACATTCTAATAAAAACCAAAATCTTTTAAAATTTAATTATTATATTACTAATTTAATTATTGATATAATTTAATTGAATCATGTGAACCATAAATAACTGACCTTTTTAATTTAATATTTAATTTAGTTCTAAAAATATTGCTCATAACTTATTATATTTGGTGCACTATTTATTTTTATATAAACATGACCTCATAGTAACATTTTTAATTTTTTTTGACAGTAGCTAAAAATGAATGGTATTTGGAGTAATTGCAATCAGTGAGCAACAGCACATCCACAAAATTAAAGGGAGTTTAACATTTCAATAAAAATTAAAACCTTTTAAAATATTCATGAGTTCAACCGGTACATGAATGATGGCTAAAATTTTTGAAAAAGTTCTAAATCTAATTATCCCTGAGATCTTTGATAATGCCTGGACAAGTAGGATAGCTGTTAAAGTTGACTGGGCGTCAATGTGGAGTCCAATGTGGTGGGAAATATGAGGAGCTTTAAATCAAAATATTTAAGAAGAAATCGCTCTCTTTGAGAACCATAACGTGAAAATTAAAAATAACCATACTCATTATAATTTAAGACCTATATTATAGTTTTTGTTAACAGTGATATTTGTGTCACTTACCCTTTTCTTAAAAAAAATATGTTTAAATATATATATATATATATATATATATTTTGAGCCAGTGAAAAACCCATTTCACGGTAAAACATTTCATCGTTCCAAATGACATCAATATTATCACATGTCTTCATTTACTTTTAATTAGTTTTTTATGAAGTAAACTAATTTACTTATTCATTGTTACTCAAGCTGTCCAAGAGGTGCAATACGATGAAGCAGCCGTGCAACGCGGCAACACCACCGACACGCTAAGCTCCCTTCCTGGAACTATATAAAGACGGAGAGTGAAGAGAAGTGAAGGGTGTGGAATCTTCTGATCTCTGAATCTGAAGAACTTGTTTTAATAGAGAACGGAAAGCAAGTCTGCAATTCCCTGTCGAAGCTGCCATTTTCGAGACCTTGTGAGCTCTTTCTTTTGCTTCTTCCATCCACGTCCATTCAGGTTATATCTTTTCTCTTCCACTTGCTTTATTTTTACTGATCTTCTATTTTCCCCAAAAAAAATCTGCAGAAGATTTGCTATTTTCTTTTCTTAGCTACACCTTACTATCGTAGATCTGACAAAGCTTGAACCTTTGATATTTTTAATACTTTAATTTTTGAAAAAAAAGGTCACAAAACCTTTAACTATTCGCGGTTGGACTTGAAACTTGATCCGTTTGTGAAAGTCTTTGTTTATTTTATTCAGTTTTTTTTTTTATGAAGTAAACGACATAATTATTTTGTTTTTTGAATTCCAAAGGCCAACCGTTTGTTCTCTCTCTCATCTGTTCATCGTAGTCACTCCCCATGTCATTGCCATACATAAAACATGCACTTTCGTTTATATATAGTGATTTCATCTTCATTATTTCATTTCACTCCTTACTTCAAATTATGTTTCTGCTCCGCTTCTTTCTTTCTTTCTTTCTTTCTTTTTTTTGGGTTGGTTTGAATTTTGAAAAGCTTGAGGGGTTAATTCTTTCATTCTCGAACAAATTCCTAAGTGTGCAGAGTAAAATAAAATTTAATATCGTTGGTAAAAAATATTTGTACACCTTTATTATGGAAATGAAAAATTATTAATTAACAAATGAGTATTGACAGGACTCCCTGTGACAAATGAGCATTGATAGGACTCCCTATATGAAATAAAATGTGACAGGATATGATTTTATTTCTTACTAAAATCCATGTCTCCATCAAATATGAGATGTTTATTAATGATCTAAAATAATTAATTCTAACTATATATCTTCAATCTAAATTTACAATACTCTGTTTGGATTTAGGATTTATCCCTTCACGGGTGGATAAATTAGCTAACAAAAACAATATCATTATCTTGAGAAGGTAAAGTCAACAAACCAAGGTCTAGTTCAGGTTGAAGCAGAAATTGCTAACCATGATTGCAGCAATTGGTTCGGTGCTGTTGGCTGCAGCAATTGCTTCAGTGCTGTTGGCTGTAGCAATTTTTAGAGCTATTAGAACATCTCCTCGGTAACTTCTTCTAAACGTCTACTCACTATTTATTTGTTTGATTTGCTGATAACCCAATATTTGTTGATGATTTCTTTCTATCTGAAGTTGTAAAGATGATGTTGATTCTACTTCCACGGCTTCTTCTTCTCATGTTGACACTGCTCCTCCTGCAACCAAGTACGATGTATTTCTTAGCTTTAGAGGGGAAGACGCTCGTGACAATTTCACTGGTCATCTTCGTGAAGCACTTCGCAAGGCAAACATTCGAACTTTTATGGATGACAAGCTCCCCAAAGGAGATAATATCTCACGAATTCTTTTGAGAACAATTGAGGAATCAGAGATCTCTCTGATTATATTCTCTGAAAATTATGCTTCTTCGACATGGTGTATGGATGAACTCATTCACATCATGGAATGCAACCATACATATGGAAGGATTGTCATTCCTATTTTCTATAATGTAGATCCAGCAGATATTCGTAAACAAAATGGGCGTTTTGGAAATGGATTTGCTAAGTTGGAGCGAAGTTTTAAACGCAACAAAGTGACAAAGTGGAGAAATGCTTTGGTCCAATCAACAAGTCTCTCTGGATGGGATTCCAAGAGTGTTAGGTAGCTTCTAACCATTTTTCTTTTGTGCGCTCTTTCTTTAGATTTTGAATCTGATTTTTCTTTTATTTTATATTTGTGCTAGGCCTGAATCTGAACTTGTTAAAAAGATTGTTGAAGACGTTTTGAGAAAATTGAATCGGAAGTCATTCGTGCATGTTAAAGGATTAGTTGGGATCGATCATCAGATGAGGAAAATTGTAGGGCTACTATGTGAGTTTCGCCTTGTGGGAATATGGGGCATGGGTGGTATTGGCAAGACCACTCTTGCCAAAGTTGTGTTTGCCTATTTGAAAGCACAATTTGAAGCTTTCTGTTTTGTTGAAAATGTTAGAGAAGAACTAGCAAGAATTGGATTGGATGAATTGCAGGGAAAATGCCTTAAAGAATTACTGAAAGATGAGGATATCAACATTTACAATATGAAATCAGATTTTGTGAAAAGTAGGCTCCAGCAGAAAAAAATTCTTCTGATCCTTGATGATGTGGACAAGTTCATCGCAGTTGAAGATTTGATCAGAGTATGTGAATCATTTGGGGAAGGAAGCAGAATTATGATCACATCAAGAGATGAGCAAGTGCTGAAGAATGCTTGTGCAACAACATATTCAGTTTCAAAATTGGATTCCAAGGATGCCCTTGATCTCTTTAGTTTGAAAGCTTTCAAGCAAAAGGATGAGCCATCTAAATGCCATATGAGGTTGGCAAATTGTGCAGTGGATTATTGTGCAGGAAATCCCTTAGCCCTCACAGTGTTGGGTTGTTATTTTCATGGTAGAGGAAAACAAGAATGGGAAAGTGCATTGGATAAACTAAATCAAACTCCTCACAATGACATTGTTAACGTGCTGAAATTGAGTTTTGATGGACTTGATGATGAGGAACAGAAAGAAGTGTTTCTTGATATAGCATTTTTAATCAAGAAACAACATGATTGTTCTTTGAACACAATAAGACAAATACATGGCTCTTCTGCAGATATTGACACAATTGTTCTTAGAGAGAGATCCCTCATTTCATTTCATGATAATTATGACTATATTGAGATGCATGATCTTGTGAGGGAAATGGGCCTTCAAATTGCAAGGCAACGGTCATTCTCTGATCCTAAACATCCTGTTCGACTTTGGAGGCCCAAGGACATTGATGATTATTTTTTTATGAGTAACAAGGTAATAATTGAGAATTCAAACTATTGTTTATTATTATTTTTATCTTGTTTCTTTATCATCTTAATTATTAGATTCCTGGCTATTGATATTTATTTGCGTGCATGTTTTTTATTCAATAAAATCTTTGGTAGTAAGGAGATGTGAATATTTATTTACTTATCTTGAAGTTCTTCCGTTTTGTTTTTATGTGTTGAATTTCTTTTTATTTTGATTACTGTTTTAAGAAAACCTTTCTCGATTTAAATGACTAATATTGCATTGGGGTATGTCCTAAATCTTTATAATTAGATTGCTCGTAAAAGATATCATTTCTTGATTTAAATGACTAAAATTATTTGGAACAGCTTTTGCGTTAAAGGTGACATATTCGTCTTGTTGGGCTTTGAAATAGATTATATAAACATATATATATATATATATATATGGCTAGTATGGTGTTTGTAATAGTAAAATATAATTTTAGTGGACGTACGATTTTGAATGAGTTATAAAATTGTTTATAAATGTTGATTTTTCTTTTAGTACAGAAAAAGCAGTTTTATTTAGATTTTTGGAAAGGAATATATTTAATCAATTGTTCTATTGGTTGTTTGATCAATCTTTACATATTTATTATTTTCCCGCATGATTTTTTTCTCACTGGGCTCCTGAGGCAGTCAAATGGTTGTTATCATTGGACGTGAATGAGATAAAAACTATTACATTTTCTTATGTTCTGTTTTGTCTTCGTGTTTTGATTTTTTTTTTTTAAATTAGATTACTCCTTTAAGAAAACTTTTCTTAATTTTAATGACTAATGTTGCGTTGGGGTAAATGGCTATAGGCATGCGTGTTTGCTGGTGCTTGTATATTGTGGAATTCTTTTATTGTCATGAAGACATGATTGGAATAATGTTTAAATTAATCGGGCTACACCGTTATTGATTTAGATATTTTGAAAAGCAAGTATATTTGATTGGTTTGTGCTGTTTTTTTTTTTTTGCTGTTGTTTTTGTTAAATAATAATTGTGCGTGTTTTCCTGTTGATTTTCTTTCAAGGGGGCGGAGGCAATTCGATGCTTGTCGGTGGATATGAGCAAGATAAAAGAAAGGACATGGAGGTCTATTAAATTTCAAAAGATGTATAATTTAATATGCCTGAATGTTTACAAGTCTGATTGGTGGAAGCCTTTAGAGTTTAATATTGGGAAAGATGTGGATTATCTTTCGGAGGAACTAAGGTTTCTTAATTGGGAAGGATGTCCTCTATCATATGTGCCATTAAAACCGTGTTCACAGAATCTTGTTAAATTTCGAATGCCTTATAGTCATATTCAACAACTTTGGGAAGGAGATATGGTACGTATCATTTTCCCAATGTCTAAAGATAGTTTTTTTTTTAAAGCGTTATGCGGAGAGCCTCTTGATCTTTAATTTGTAGCAAGATATCTCAAGCGGATGTCACAAATAATTCACAATGCCCACGTTAATTTGCTTCACCGGGACATGGATGGTAAAACTATAGTCATAGCATGTTTGAGGAAGCAGAGATTATTTTTTTCGTTTGTCAGCAATAAGCAACTAATTCAAGCATTATGGACTATGTTTGCTTTAAATCCAGTTCATGTTCTAAATGCGTTGATTCAGTTCCTTCATAATAATGTGTCATTTTTAATTGTGGTGATAGGAATTCATGACGAAATTATTTAGTTATTATCTAATTTATTACACGCGTTTTTGTTTGCAGCATTTTCCAAATTTAAAGGTGATCGATGTAATTGGCTCGAGATGTCTCACAACACTCCCAGATCTGTCTCAGGCCCCAAATCTTGAAGAGTTAGAAGCTATGGGTTGTGTAAGTTTGGATCAAATCCATTCTTCAACTTTCATGCCCAAGCTTAATGAATTAAGCCTATTTTGGAGTGGGGCAAAGCAGATAAAGATGGGTGGCACTATGAAAGGGAGAAGTGTGGGGATGGTTTTTATCTTCAATTATTTGGATCTTCACAAGTTGGCATTCAATAAAGTGAGGACGAAGGTGTTGGCATGTGACGAGGGTAGGATTATGTGGGGTTTTGAACATAAGCACGTGCACATGCCATTGGAGAATAGGGAAATGGCAGAGCTAAAAATAGGAGCACAGAGGTTGGCGTGTTTACTTCCATTTGTTAGGACAGTTAGTTGGTCAAAGGGTCCAACAGAGTTTGGGGATTTCAACCATCATTATACCTCTCACTTCTCTCTTGAGAAAAGGTTACGCGATGATGATTCAAAACTAGAAGTAACGGTAAGGAGACGTAGTGGAGAAAGCGAAGACGAGCGGTGGCCTGACTCATTAGTAAATGTGGAGGTAAGGAGACGTGGTGGAGAAAGCAAAGATGGGGGTCCATGGGGAAGAGAGGTGGGTAATGATGATAATCATAAGGGAGTTGAGCAAGAGGAAGTGTTGATGTCACAAACAAATGACACTGATGATGATATGCCACTGTTCACACTTCCCAATGCCATTACTCGTTGGTCACTATTGACACAATTGATGTTAAAGGAGAGTGAAGTTATTGGCAAAGCAGGAGACAGCAGCATTCCTCAAGTTTCAATTTTGAGATCACTTGCGCACTCTCACTCATAAAACGACTCCGCCTCTCATGGATCTATCACTCCTTCTTGACATTCCGCCACCCGCTGATTTTCTTTGTTGTCGTGATTTAAGCTTCTTTTATTCCTTGCCCTGGGATGAAGAATGTGAGAGTGAAGAATTTGAGAGTGAAGAATTTGAGAGTGATCAGTTGAGCTGTTTTTTAAATTACTGGGCTAAGGATTTTACTTTTACTCTTTTCTATTAAATTAAATAGTATCATCATCACTCCAATTTTATTGCAAGGTGGTGTTCACTTTAATCAACACTTGAATATTTTTGGGAGTCGGCTTCCCTCCATTGAGGGAAGAAGAGGCCGAGGTAAATCTGGATCATTTAAATTTATTTTGAATGGTTGAAATTTAATATTTTTATTTTTTTAATTTTAATTTATATTTTAAAATAAAAATTATAAAAATTATTAAAAAAATTAATAAATATATTTATCAATCTAACAATTTAGATTTAATATGGATGGTTCAAATTTAATATTAAAAATTTAATATTAAGTTTAAACTATCTATATTAAATCTAGACTGTTAGATTGATAAATATAAAATTTAAACTATCTATATTAAATTTGAACTATCAGATTGATAAATATATTTATTAAATTTTTTTACAGTTGTTATATATTTTTATTTTAAAAATATAAATTAAAAATATTAAATCTAAACGGTTTAGATGTGCTTTTGCTTTGGCGGGCAGGCAGAGGAGACTTTTCTCAGTGCAAAGAAGCCAACTCTATATTTTTCACGGTAATAACTGAACCAAACTGTGGCATGTCTATTTTATGTGGAAAAAATAATAATTAGCAACATAAATGGATGAGCTTCATGTTTTGTGCAGAATTTAAAAAAATAAAAATATGAGTCATGCAGTTTATGAATGATTTCTTTTGCACGAAATTTCATATGTTTGGCTTACTCCATCCAAGCCAATTTTCCAAAAAAAGAAAGAAAGAATTTAACCTGGAGAGCGAGGAGTGATATGAATCAATTTGGACAAATATGGGATAGACTGTTGGAAAATAAAATATTTGGCAACTTTTATCAGGAAAAAGAAATATCTGGCACCTTAAGAATTTAATAATAAAAAAATAATTGAGAAAAAAATTAGGATTTGTTTGATGATTTTCTTCCCAATTTTATTTTTAAAAGTTATTTTTCAAGACAAAACAAAATAAAAATTTTTTTCAATTAAATTGATGTAAGAAGAGCTTGAATTTGAAATAATAACTTATCTTCATTTGAACTAAAAGAAGTTGACAGGTTGAGAAAGTTGTACGTTAATTACAAGATGCTAGTTTTTTTTTTTTTTTAAATTCCTCCAAGTTCCAACAATTAATCAATGTTAACAAACTCAGATCAATGAAAATATGAAAACTGTGGGGAAGAGGGGGAGAGAGGGAGAATAAACACAGTAGAAGGGGGAGAGAATGCGGTGGTGCCGTCGCCGGAAGAGGCGAGTGCATTGGAGAGAAGACATAAGAGAAGGTGCATATAGGTGATGGCTAGTTAACGGATGATCGTGCTATCATACCTAAGGAGGAAAATCATTAATATAGATAAGGTTGGGTCATCAAGTAGTAATTAATTGGAGTTGGGTGACAGGTGGCTGACAAACAGACCCCATTAATATATGTCTGTATTGCTTTTTTCTTCTCATTTATTGGGCAACTCTTGAATCAAACCCAATTCCTATCGCTGACGCGTAGGAAACCACATGCTGCTTTGTCTTGTTAATATATGCTTGGCTAAATTTATCACTCCTCATTTTTAACTAATTCATCCTCCCTTCATTTTTAAATACAGGAGAATTTTCTAAAATATTTGTTGAAAAAAGTTATCACTTTTTTGTGATCGATCATATTGATAGGTGGATGCCTATAACCAATCAAAATAAATATAAGAGATTTCAACTAATTCACATAATTTAAAAATGTAAACTAATCTAAAGAATTATATTTAAAGTTGAAATGTTCGAAATAAAATTTTTATTTTTCAGTTCCATTTATAACACCATATCATTAACTTTTTATTACGAATTTTTATTTTCACCTCTCATTAAATGTTGCTGAAAAATATGTTATTAAAATATGTTTATTTAATATGGATAAAATTTAAAACTTATTGAGGTTTTAGAAAGAGTTCATGAGTTATAAAATTTATTTTAGTTTTAGTAAAATATGTTAGAAGTAATTAATAAAAATTACAATGAAACAAAGAGATTATATCTTATAATAATAAATGAATGAAGAAATTATGTAAACTACTCCCTATCCTTAAATAATTGTCAGTTTAGGACTTGATTATATCTTATAATAAAAATGTGGAAGGACTTGATTTGTTGACTATATAAGGGCTTGTTTGGTTATTGTTTTCATGTTTTATTTTCACAAGTTATTTTATAAAACAATTTTAAAAACTGTTTTTGAGGATAAATAAAAAATGAACTTGTTTGGTAACAGTAATTCAAAAACAATGTTAGAATTAAAAAAACAAAGAAACTTGCTTGGCAAAATTAATATTAAAAATAAGTTCTAAAAACTAAAATATAATAAAACTCATTTGATAAAAATTGTTTTGGATGTTATTTTGCTTGGCAGAATTAGTCTATATATTGCTGCCAATAAAGTATAATTTATTTTTTAGAATTTCCTTACAATTTACAAAATGAGCAATATTTATAAAAACATAAAAACTTATAGATGTAAAATTATTTGTTTAATTTTCTAATTAAACCAAGATAGACATGTAATTATTTAATATTATTAGCACATAAAAATTTATTTATTTAATTTAATTAGATAAAAATATGTTAAGTCTATAAAGTTATGTATGCAAGTTCAGAAATTGAGAAATGAGAAATTTATATTATAATAAAATGAGATATTCTAATAAATACTAAAAGAATCTACAATTATTATAATAAATGAGATAGAGATATAGTTAAGCAGAATAGGGTAGAATCAATTGAAAATTATAAACCAATCATTTTGTATAAATAGAAGAAATCCTTAACATAAGCCTAATTATAGGGAGATCAAATCAAAAGAAATCAAATAGCAGAGCAGCATGAGGTTGAGGAAGACAAAAATGTTTGAATCAGTGATCACCAAAACCATCCTCCTAGTAGTATGGGAACAGAAATAACATTTTTTGTTTCCCACTTTTACGCGGTAAAAACAAAAAATAGGAATAGAAACAATTAAAAGTTGTTCTGGTTTTCTTGTATTTAAAAAAAATTAAAAACTGTTTTCAAAATAAAAATTAAAAACTCATTAACCAAACAAGTTTTATTGTTTCGAAAATGTTAAAAGAAAAAAATCGTTTTTAAGTCTTCATTGTTTCTTTTATTTATTTTCATGCAAAACAAGCGTGTATTGTATTTTTTTTTTCTTTATATTAATCATTCCCTACTTCATTTTTTTAATCCACTTTCATACAATGGGACCATCTCCCGAAATATGTCGGCAATAGCAGCGTCCTTTATTTATAATGCTATTATAGTATCATCTTCACTCAAGACTGGAAAAAAGATTGAATGAAATTAAATTTTTACCTAACTTAAATTTGATCTTTTTATAAAAAAATTAAATTAAATAATTCATAGTTCAATCTGATTATTAATAATTTAAAGATTAATTAGACCATACTTAGTCTTGAAGACTGGGAACTAGTGCTATTAGACCGATATTTATTTATCTTTTTTTTTCTTTTTTTATAAGAGACAATAATTCATTTCAACCTAATAAATTTAATTAAGATAATAAAAATACTTATAATCATAATAAATTCATAATAATTCCCAACAACAAGAAAAAAAGATTCAGTTACAGTTCAAGTGGTTCAAATTATTAAATTACTAGTCTGAGCATGCGGCCATGCGAAGAACCAGACTTATTAAATTATTAATAGTCTTAATTTATTATTATAAATTATTAGTAAATTATTTATAATCATATTAAATAAATTTAATAGGACCAGACTAGATCAAGTAGTTCAAATGCTCAGTCTCCTGTCCAGTCAAACCCAAAAAAATAATCTGACTTTTTTAATCTTTTCAGTCCTAAAGGATCAACTTTTAATAGGATCGGACAGGATCGAACTTTCTCGAATCAAACTGGATCGAATAGGATTAGAGGACTCCTGCACCACCCTACCTTCACCATCTCCCACGCCATATTTAGTGAATATTGTTTCTATTTTATTATAAACTCACTTCAAACTTACTCATTAAAATTAAAATGAAATAGTTATAATAATAAAATTATTTTGAAAATAAATTATTTTTTAATTTTGTACCTAAATTTTAAAAAAAGTGATTTGATATTTAGGAAAAATTTTTTTGAAAATTGAAAGCTGACATCAAATGTTACAAAAATAAAAAAAGTAACTTATATAAAAGATTAAAGAAATCTTTTAAAATGTGATTTATAAAGATAATGGAGGGAGTAGGATAATATCTATTTAAAAAGAAAGTAAATTATTACCACTGGTACTTGATTAGGAGAAAAATCTAATTAATGAACAATTATTTCATAAATAGTAATATAAATTTAAAAGCAACGAAATTAATTTAACCATTTTGAGAAATTTTAATTTTGTATGAAGAAATCATCAATATTAATATCTTCAGTGTTATCCTATCTTTTTTTTTTTTGCCTTTAACAGAAGTGTGATTTTATCAATATGTGGGCCATTCTAATCCTATTTTTTCAGCACGATGACGCGGCAATGCACAAAACCTCGACGAAAAAATGACCAAGTGACAGCAGGCTCCGAAGTTAGGGAAGACTTGACCTTTTGACCACAAGGCCATGTTTGCCAAGAGGAAAAAAGTATTCAAATGAAGAGATTGGATGGGAAAAATTTAAAGGTGTTCAAGGGTTAAATTTGGTTTGGTTTGGTTTTGCATAAAAACTAAGCTGAACCAAATCAATTTGTTTACTCATCAGTGAAGCTTGATCAGTTTTTGTAAAAATTAATTTGGTTTGGTTTTATTTTTAGTTTGGTCAAAATTTGGATCAAGCTTTAATCAATTTATTTAATTTTTTTCATCTTTATAATAGTTGATTTTTTTTTTGAATTGATTTATGGATTACTGGCTCTTTTATTATATAAAAGGTCCTTGATTATCTCATATTTTATTTCAATCATAACATATTTATGGAAGGTTTTTGAACCTTGATTAATCACGTATCTTTCACATTTATATTCATTCTTTTTTTAACTTATTTTTGCTCGGTCTCATATGTATCAAG